ATCGCATAAAAATGAATATATTGTTTTATATTGAATATATATTGAATATATTATAATAAATATATTTATTATAATGAATTATTAAATGTTAAATAAGGACAAATACTCACGAATGTTGTGAGTGTGAATTGCACCGCAGCCTTATAAAAACTTTCAACTTCGTGACGCCGCAATGTAAAATCGTGAAAGCATATTTCTCGTGTAAGTTCTACATTTTATTTGCAAAAGTTCTCTTATACAGAAAGTTCGTATGTACAGCTTCTAAGTTTCGAAAAATTTTTCGGAAATCGTCTACGATGCTTGAGCATACAAAAGGAAAAAAAAAATGATAGAATGGTAACGATGACTTTATACTATAAACATTAAGTATAGAAAGTACGACTCTGTGTTACCTTATCGCTTTATCGAGAAACATTAATCATATCATTAATATTAATTATCGTACGATTATACAGAAAAGTGGACGGATTTTTGTCTAACTCTCTTTGCTTTCGACACGACATAAACATATATCTCTTGCATATTTATATATATGTATATCTCTTATTAATAATTATTTCTCCTCGCATCTAATAATTTACATTCCCAATCAAAATATTAATCTAAAATTCCAATCTAAGAATTTTAGATCAATATTTTACTAAACGGATCACGCTCGACGGCTCGTGTATTCAAATCACTTCTCGTAATTCCTTCCTGTCTGACAAAGCAGCACTTCTCGTCTTGGATTTAAAAGCGGACGACAAAAAGGCCAGTCTGCGTAAAATATTGACTAGCTTAGCTACTCGAGCTTCTTAACTCCCGGTTTGCGTCCACTCCGAGATATGCGCATGAGTTAAAATTATTATACTCCTACAAGGCCAGCAGAGACCTTTACACTTACTAGTACACTTTTTTAACAGCGGTTAAGCCGTTGTACATATTGCAGATAGTTTAACGGAAAAAATTCTTTGTCGCGCAAATTATAACTAGGAGCTGTAAAAATATACTGTCCTGTATTTTACATGCGATGTCGCAGTTTGTCCTCCTCACCCATCTTAGACCGTCAGTGTTTTCGCTTTTATTACGATATTACGCAGACAATACAAAGTTCTAAACCTGGACGTAATATGTCTTAAAAACGATTGAAAGGCGGTTTAAAGAATTTTTTCGATGTCTAAAAAAATGTTACATCGAAATAATTAAGATCTGCTTTGTGTGACCGAATATAGAATTTCTCTTACTTAATTTATTCTCATTGGGGATTCCAAATTCGTATTATAATTGTCTCATGTTTCGATTTTAGACTTTATATTGTTTGGATATGTATAAATGGAATTGGTCATTTCAAAAACCCTATATAAGTAATAAAAGAATTTAAATTTTAAAGTACTAAAAAAAAGTTCTGCAGTTTTTACAGCTGTAATATTAAAAATAATTAAAGATATGTAAAATATGTCTCATTATTTCAATAAGTGAATAGAATATATGTCACTTTTAAAACTTATTTCCAAAAAGATAATTAATTTCGAAGATATTAACTCATGATGTTTTTGAAGTAAATGAGCGTATCTCGTACTTATATATAACATACGAGCTTTTAAATTAGAAAATTTTGTAAATGTAATAACGAACTTCTAAAAATGTTATAAAATAAGATTGCAGCCTAAAAACATATTTAATTTCATTGTTGACAAATAGAGGAGACTAGGGACGAGATCAGAAGACGAGATCAGTAGATTAGGGATAAATAGAATAATCGAGGCTACATTAAAAACAAAACATACGAGACACGCGTAAACATATCTGAGATCATCGCTCAGTCTGTTACTCCGGATCAACAATAGAGTTCTAAGCCTTAAGCCATAAGAAATTGACGAATCATAATCTATTATTCTTCTCGAATTTGACTATAATTGACTACAATTTTTTTTTACTTAAAGTTTAAAACACCTATTGTAGATCCGGACTAAAATTACGGATCTACATCTATCATAGAACGCTACAATTAATAAAAATTGTACACCTAAATAAATATTTTTATTCTTGAAGTTTTTGTTTTACAATCATATATGATTGTCTGAGATATTTGATTTCTATTTAGATAGTAAGTGTTCAGATAGTAAATTCTTATTTAATAAAGTTCAACAGATTTTTTTTTACTTATGTGTCTTTGTTATCGTATATTATTAATGTTTTTAAAAACGAAAGGGGATAGTAGACTAACCACAGCACGAAGCTGTATGACTCATTTAGTAACAACTCTTATAGTACTTACTCAAAATTTTATTTCTTTAAAGAGATTTATCTCAGTGGTAAATGTTATAAATTGTAGCTTAACTTCTATAGATGTATTCGCAACGAGATGTTACAGCAGAGTGAGCGGCAATCACATTTATGCGTGCCTCGCGTGTTTTGTTTTTAATGTAGCCTCGATTATTCTTCTTACCCTTATAGTCTACTTACCCCAATCCCTACTTACTCAAAATTTTATTCTTTTAAAGAGATTTACATCAGTGGTAAATGTTATAGGTTTAATTCCCTCGTGTCCAATCTCGAAAACTAGACTCATTCGACATGTTTTTTGCATAAAACGAACAAATTTGCAAAAAGAAGCAAAGAAGCAATTCTGCCCTGCGGAACAGATTTGATATCTACGAAAAAAAATGCTCAATGTAGTTTTTAAAGGAAATATATCTACACAATATTTCTCCCAATTCTGAATCCCCTACAGTATACAAAAAATTTATTAAATTTTAATAAATATTTACTTAATAAAAAAATGATACTTATATAAATTAATAATTTTGGTATCAAATAAATACATGTTAACACTTAATAAATATTTACTTATAATTTACTATTATTGAGCAAATATTTATTAAAATTTAATCAATTTTTTCAGTGCAATATTTCACAGATGATCAATTCAATTGTAATAAATTTCGCTCGCGTTTCGTTTTATAATTATACGAGACACCACCCTCGCCGCTTTAACTCTAAAACATTGTAGCACTACCGACATGCACGGTTCGTGCGATCACGTCGCGGCGTGTTCATAGCTCATAGGGATGCGGAAACCGCGATAACGAAGAGCCGTTATCACATGCGAAAAGTGGGCCCATCGAAGATGGGATGCCGGTGAGATCGTCGGATTACACGATCAGCAGGTCCTCCTTCTGGTGAGGCCCATCCGGTAGCCTCTGATTAAATACACGGATATTGTAGCAGAGGTAACCCAACCCCTCCATGATCGGCCGTACGATTGCCTGCGTCACCGCCGCCAAGAAATTTCGCGTCGCCGCGCATGTGATCTTCCACACGCGCAGACACGGTGCGAGACACCATATATGCTGCAAGGAACAACAAAGGTAGAGGAATGTGTGAACGGATCGCGAATGAGTTGAACAAGACGAACTATTAATCGTCGAGATTCAAAGGAACAAAAAAACGTTTCGAACGTCTCGGATCTTTCCTCAACTATTTCACGTTTCTTGAAAAAAACAAAAAAAAAATTGAAAAATCTTCTCAGATAGATTTTAATACGATTAAAATTGAATATAAATGAAAAGGAGTGTACAGTCACGACGATTTAAACGAAGTCAATATATTTAAAATTATCATGTAATAGCGTAGACATTTCGGTCAAGATTTGAGTCAATACGTAGAAATGTCAAGATGTCAAAAAAAGAAATACATAGAATTAAAACAATAATCGCAAGTCAAAAAGATGGTAAGATAACTTTCCAATCGCTTATGAACTTTAAACATCTACATTATTATACGATAATTTTAAATATATTGACTTTCGTTTAAAACATTTAGCGTCGTGGCTGTATACTCCTTTTTATTTATATTTTGTATTTTTAAGTCACCTTCAAATAGTTCAAATTTTAAAATTAAATCTTAACTAACTGTTTAATTCTTTTTAAAGAATTAAGAGATTAGTGCTTGTACATCTTTCAAGAGAAGTTCTTCCCTCCTTAGTAGATATTTTCCACTTCGTAAGTACCCAATAAATTAAATTAAATTAAATCTCTACGATAAAATCATTCATGTAAAAAATAAGTAAATTAATATTAAGTTAATTACATTAAAATTATTATAAAATATTAAAATTAAGTTATATTAGGTCATTTAAAAAGTATCCGCGGTTTTTGGTTCAATTTTTGAATGAAAAAAACCGCGAATACTTTTTAAATGACCCAATATTATTCAAATTAAAAATGATTGATGACGTTCTAATCATTTACGTTTCGATCTTGGATCCCCCCACAACGAAACGTGACGTATTCCGCTCGCGGTGCGCAGTGATACATGCGGGAAACTCGCGAGATCGATCGCGGTGGAAATCAAAAGAAACGGACGCACGCGAGGGGGTGAGTTATCGACTCACCTGAAACGCAAGGCAGGCGAACGTGAAGCCCAACAGCAGGGCGAGCAGAGGCGCAATGAGGACGGAGAGGAGCACGTAGCAGCATCCTCTGGAGAGCCGGAAACAATGGCCGCTGAGCCGCCAAGCGCATTCAGGACTCCGGATCCCTTCCGGTTCGCCAATCACGTCATCCCACATCACCTGTGTACCGACGCGTTCGCGCCCGCGTAAAATTTAACGATCAATGATATCGATCGCGCTTCGATCGTGCCATTAAATTCGACACGGTGCGTGCGTGCGTGCGAGTCGTTTGTCAAAGTATACACTGTTAGAAATGTAACTATGGGCTTCCTTTAGATGTAAATGAAGCTCGTGGTTATGAACGAAATTAAAAGTAATGAATGATTTAAATGAAAGTTAAGTTACAGTAATTATTTAAATGTAATGAATGTGTACGTTAAATTTCATAAATTTTCATGAAAAATACATTAAATTTCATGTACACTTTTCAGTTATAAATATAGTTACTTTTTAGTTATAAATACATTAAATATATAATGTGTCATGAAATTAAGTTCAAATTGTGTAACTTGAAAGTATATCAATTTCATAAAATTTTGATCAGTGTATGAGCGATGGCCGTGATTAGTCAGCTTAAAGTCCCATTACTCTACGTCGTTGACCTTCAATTATTGTATTTTCGCAGAAACGTGCATCATAGTTTTCAGCTTAGTTCAATGGAAAAGAAATCCGACAATTCAAAAACTAGAAATTAAAGATGAGAGAAAATTCGAAAGCCATTCGATTAGCCACTCCCTCCAATGATTATGTAGCAAAGATAGAGGACGTAATTCACTGAGACAAAACTACTATGTGACTATACAGCGTAAAATAATAATAATTAGGAGCATGTTTATAATTATTTTATTACAATCTTATTGATAACAATTATATTTATAATTCAATGTACAATTACAATCACGAACATTTTTTTTCGGGACATTCTTACAGCATAGATCTTTAAGGGACATCCTGAGAACGTCTACATGTTTCCAGACCGTCTCTCAGTTAAAGTGTGCTGTAAATGTATCATTTGAACGTGCGCAGAAAGAAAAGTTTCGCTAAAGTATCCAAAAATTTAACTAAGATCTAAAATTAATTTTGTTAGATTAAAATAATTATTATTATACGGAACGCTCAATAAAAAAAATTCTCTTCTGCTTTGCAAAATTTTTAGATACCTTAACAAAACTATTCCGTGTAGGTTGGTGCGTGTTTTATACGAGACGAAGGACATCATCGTAAGATGAAAGAACAAAAGTGACTTCGAAGATATTCATTTTCGATCAAAAAAAAAAAAAAAAAAGCCGCTTGCATTAATCATCAATTATTCAGTGATGTGCGAAATTTTGCGAAGTACGACAAATACAAGTGCCGATGATACATCGATCGTGAAGAGAGGCGGCTGCAGGCGGCTGCATCTTACCTGAAGATGTTGATTCAAGCTGTTGGGATCCCGATCTTCGAGCTCTCCGGAGTCTCCGGCGCTCTCGCCCGCCGCGGAGGACTCCGGCTTCTCCATCCCTGGAATACGAATACTCGGGCATTTGGGCATGCCGCAGCGGAAGCTGTTGCGGAATCTCGCCAGCATGGTTAACCGCGGAGAGACGCTCGTCATGCGCTTCCTCGTTATCCCCAATCCGGGAGACTTCGCGACTTTCACGCGCCGCCGATTCGTGGCGGCAGACGAGGACGAGGAACGGCTTTTCCTGCCACGCGCCGCGTCACCATCGCGAAAATGACGACTATCGCGAGGGATACGTACCCCGGGTACACGTATCCATAAGCCATCGATTATTCCCGTTAAATAATAAATTCGCGCGCTACACTGGCTGCGACGAACTAGCGGAATTGCCCGCCCCCGATCGAGAGAAAAAGAGGAGGACAAAGGATTGCGATCAAGGGTGCGCGATCGCGACGCGCCTTCGACGATCTCGCGACCAAATGTAGGGGTGGATCTGGGGAGGAGCGTATTTACGTATAGCGTGCCCTTCTGTAATTGTTGGTATCGATTTGAAAACGCAACGGGACTACAACTTTCTACTCCCCTCGCGTCTTAACTTAAACTGTTGCACTCGCGGATTCTATAGCGAGACTATGGCGAGGTCGCGATTTTTTTATATATATATATATATATGTCCGCACGTGGCGTCGCGACGTCGTCCTCTGCGGGGATAATCGCTGTATCGCTGCCATTCCGGCGATTTTTTTCAATCAATTTTCAACATCATGTTTCTCTTCTCACAAATAAATTCTTCTTAGGGCATAAAAATTTTATAAATGTACATTTGTTGCTAATACAAACTTTTTAAATTTTAAAAATGGAAAAATAAAATTAAGTAGTTCCAGAAAGCAAAATAAACAAACGAGTAAAAAACCCAAATTAATAAAACGTACACTAAGAAAAAAATAGTCTAAATTAAAATAAATATTTATTTGAATATTACTCTAACTAAACATTTACTTACACTAAATAAATATTTAATTGATAAAAGAAGTGACTGTTAAATCAAATTAATGGTTTTTGTAAAATCATTAATTTAATAAATAAATTTATTTATTTATCAATATATTTACCAAATAAATATATTTATGTATTTAATAAATATTTAGTTGGTACTATTCAAATAAATATTTATCGAAATTTAGGATATTTTTTCTCACTGTATACTTAATGCAGTTATTTATACTATTATTTTATTACTTTTAATTAGTTTTATTTACTATTAAAAAATAACTCTCTATGAATTGTATAAATTAACAAAAGTTTCGTATTTTTTTATCTAAACAATATAGACATGCTATGTAAGGATGTATTACAAATATTTTTTAACAAAATGAAAAAATTAGGAAAAAATTACAAATTTTTTTATATATTGTATTTGAAAATAATACAAAAAATTAGCCGCAATTTAAGATTTAAATAAAAAATTACTGCAATAAGAAGTAGACATGGTTCTAAAAAATAATTGATATAAAATGATAAAATTTTCATTTAAACTATAGAATTGTATTGATAAATATAAATGATTTTAAACGTAAATTGAATAAAATACTAAATATATTGAATATAAATATTGATCTTATTTTATAATAATGTATATAATATTCACTTTTAGTATAAACTTCCAATTCCAGTCACTTTTCACAGAAACGATACACCTGATACATACTTAATCTTTTATGGAACAAAATGTGACAAAGAAAGAGAGTAAACTATTTTATGTTTTCCAAGTATAAATTTCCAACTCAAGTTACTTTTTTGCAGACTATACACCCTTAACCTTTTACAAAATCATGACAGGAAGGGGAGAGCAAATTGCTTTATGTCTTCTCCACTTTCTTCGAGGAAAGAAAAATATCGCATATATTTTATCACGACAGAAAGAAAAAAAAATGATTATCCGGAGGATTTGCAAAAATTCAATGCGGATTACAGAGTATAAAAGCGAAGGTCTAGACAGAAAACCGATGTAGACGAGAAATTATGCGACACTGCGACTTTGCCCTACTTCCTTTAGAAAAGTCGTAGATCGTATCTATCGCCCGTTTCCCTTTTCCAACCCCCGGTCATCAACAACGGTTTGTGCTTAACGTTTCGCGCGATTATCGACTCGCGAAAAGTTTCGTCTACCGAGAAACCAGAGTTTCCGGACTGTTTCCGATTCTTCCTAATCGCGGGACCTTTGCCATCCAGGTTTTAGTTAACGCAAAACTTAGTCGAGGAAAAACCCACGCAATTCTCAACCAATTAATAATAAATGCCACTATTACACATGACGCGCCGCAATGTGTAACAAAGACACAAAGTGGAGCTCGGCCGATCGAATTACCTGCTTCACGTCATCAATTATTTCCGCGATTCTATTCCGACTCGCTTACTCCCCATTTTTAATCGTAGCAGTCTCGATGTTACAACGGAAAAAAAGGAACATTACGAATCGAGGCATCCAGGTCTTTCATTTTTCCTTCTCGTCCTACTTCCGGAGACACCGTTTCCGTTTCCCCACCGCGAGAGGTGATCTTCACCCCGTGAGGGATGATCTACCCCTTCTAGAGACTAAGATGTGACGGCACGCAACGCGGATTTGGGAGATCTAAGAGCACGGATAAAATTGGACCCTTCCGAGGAGTCCAGAAGGGCGCGCTCGAGGAGACGGTATACTCACTCGGTTCACCGTTCGCCACCCTGGAACCCCTTATTTTGCCGGTTGATCGCGAAATGCTGGAAGGAATCCTTATTGCCTGATTGCGGTTGACACGGCGACACGGCGCGTCGCCTCACTTTTACAATAGAGTAGTATTCGTGGTACACCTGGGTATAAGCAGGCAGGGGAATATTCCGGGGAATTGTAAGGAAGAGAGAAGTGGACAGCGGTCAGCGCGGCTGCGCACTGTCAAGGATTTCAACCCCTTGCGGTCCGACGGCCGGTCGGTGTTTGTTGATGTAATCTGGGGTACAACCACCCCGACGATGAAAGTGAATGGCCCGCGCGACCGACGTAATTTCGACGACGCCATAAAAATAGTCTTGAAATAACATATCAAAATAATACTGTAAACAATGTAACAAGAGACAAGAATTGAAGCACAATATTGCGGCAGTTATTTTAAAAAATATCAAATATCAGTAAAATAACTTTGAGGAAAATTAATTAACCGTTAATTCAAAAAGAGAATTTTATGTTAAATTTTACTTTTTATAAATTTATAACAAACAAAAGAGGATTGATTTATAGTTTTGTTCATTATAAATTTAAATCATTGCGTGGCAAAAATGTTTTCTTCGATTTATTATCGATACAGTTCGTTATTAATAGAGCGCGATAATTAATATGACGCAATTGCTATTTCCATTATCGTTGATTATAAATAATGCGCTAATTTATCAAAGTATAACATTTACAATTTCCATCTGCAGTCAATAGATGGAGTTGGTAGTACGTAAGTTGAAATTAATTCGCAACTTTACCAACAGATCTAAAACGATTGTTTAATAACATCTATTTTATAAGAATTTATAAATTTATAAAAATTTTACAAAATTTAGAAAAATTTAGAAAAACTCCTCATTTTGCTGTCAACAGAAACGTTATATTTTTTATTCATTTTTTCTATTACGTCATATTTTAAGCGTAATATTCTGTAAATAATCAAATATAAAAAAGATAAAAAATGACAAACTATGTACATTTTATCAAAATTTAGAGATTTCTTTTACAATCAATTATCGCAATATGTATGTAGTAAGTTTCAAAATATGTAAGTAGTAAGTTTCCAGCCCAAGAACAAAAAAAGTGTTAGAATAAAACAATCATTTTTAATTTCCAATTAAATTACACTTTATTTAATTGAATAATTTTTTTTAGAATAATAAATAAATTTTTCTCTACTATTAAAAATGTTTTATAATACTTAAAAATAAAAAATATTTGTTTTAAATCAAAATCCGATGAGCGTAAAAAAATTTACCAGCTATGAAAAAAGTGATTTCTGCAGTTAAATCATTTTAAGAACAAAAATTAAATGCAAATGTTATAAAAGAAAACAATTATTTTTATTTTTCAGTATAATTAACCTTTTTTTCAGACTAAATTAATTTCTCTACCACAAATTAAAATATTCTGAAGATTTTGTTCTCAAAATGTTTCACTTAAAGATAAAAAATCAAAGTCTAACATACATAAAAAAATTTATCGATGACGAAGAAACAATTTCTACAATGTTCAACCATTTTAAAAACAAAAATTCAAAATATTTATTAGTAGAAAAATTAATTCACCTAAAACATTATTAAAATAAAGAGTGATTATAATAAAAGATAAAAATAGTTACATTTTATCATCTTTTTCGTATCTTTGGACTGAAAACTTTTAAACCTTACAGCATAAGTACTTTTTGTGTATCGCGGTAAAAAAAATTAGTGAGACTCGATTTTTGACACGAGACACGCGACTCATCACCGTCGAATCTGACGGGAGATCGTCGAGAATCGACGCGGACAATGCGAGATGGCAGCTTAGTCTGTGGATGATGGACGGGAAAACGCATGAATGGAGGCTGACGTCTCTGGGATATCGCGATGGACACTCCGGCGCTTAAATCGAGTCTGGAACCCGGAGTTGCGTAAGCACGACAGTCACGACGAGCGTTCCGTCACGAACTATAACGGGTGCGCACTTTTGTCGCTTGTATAGATGAAAAAGTGTCATACAATCACGTCGTCCTCTCGTGATTCCCGTCGGGAATTGCAAGAACGAGAATTCACGACTGGCACAGCCGCACCTCGGCTCTGCCGTCTGTAATTCATCTTATAATCTCGTTCGGTGATCTGTTAGTCGAGATGTTAGTCTCCAAATCTTGTTGCAGTTTCACTGTCTTTTTATTTTCCAATTTTCCAAATTTATTCAAATAATTATAAGATAAAATAAAATAATCATTTCATTTTTCAGTAGAATCAACATTTATTGTAATATGAAATCTTTAGAATAATAAATTTATTCATTGCAGCTGAGTGATTCTGTTAAACGCGTCGCATGAAAATCCGTGACTTCTGTTCAAAGTATTGTATTTCCATGTATAATTTATCATATTATTATTATTATTTCATTGTTGTGTTTAATATTCATTATGTTAAAGATCTGGACTTATAATTTTCCTTCCATATTATTTTTGTTTACTGTTTTATTATTTTATTTAGTCTAGGCTTATAATTTATTATATTTATTATTATTATTATTTTGTGTTATATGAATTATATTAAAAATCTAGGCTTATAAGCAGCATTGTTGATGCCTCATCTCTTGAAATGCTATTCTCTATCACATTTTCTTCAGCTTCAACAAAGATAACACAATTTCCAGATATAAAATGCGCTTATTCATTTCTGAGATTCAATACTAACGCAGTTAATGTAAAGTAAACTATATACTAAATGCACGTTTATCAATGAAAGTGAAGTATAAGTACAAAAATCAATATCTTTAAAAAAAAAACGAAGATTTTCATATTTAACAGATGGCCAAAGACATTCGAGAATTAAAAACGATCGTTTGACTCGGAAAGGTTATCGTGCTGCTCAATTCTAAGAATTATTCAGCTTCTTTTCTTCTCTCATGCATATGTAAATAGAGAACTAAAAATAGAAGATATGATAAAAGACTGAATAAAGATTTAGAGATATAGGCTCGAGTTTCTTACCACCCTTCCTGAAAGACCACGAAATTCCCATTTTCTTACGTCATCCCTACAACCGCTGAGTCACGCCATTCTATCCCATTCGTACCCCATGAGGCATCGTAAACATTCGCCACCCTCGTGTTCGCGACTGCAGGGTAAAATCGCATTTTCAGCATAGCGTTCGAAGGGTATACTTTTGGAATCGTATTCCCTGAACAGCGTACGAGAGGTACGGTTTTTGGAATCGTGTTTCTCGAAGAGAGAGAGTTCGAGGGCACGAATTGCTTTTGAAATCGTATTTTTTGAACAGCGTTCGAGGGGTATGCTTTTGGACCGTCAAGTGTACGAAATGTTATCGGAGAGATTTCATCCAATCGAAAGCAGAGAGTAAATTCCCAGAAAATGAGACCAATTTTCGACATTTCATTATTAGAATTGAAATCAATTAATCTCTTTTCTCCGAAAATTAAGATTGATTAGCTTCTCTATCCATGGATTAATTCTCTCTCGAATAAATTTTGGAAAGTTCACGGAAAGGACGAAATTTTGTTGAAATATCTAAAAATTTAAGTAAATATATCTGAGAATAATTTTAAACAATCAAAATAATTATGTAGGACACTTAAGCTGATTGCTATTAAAATATCGAAACTTCTTGCAGAATTATATCATATTTAATTTCTACTATTCTATAATTATTTTAACAGCCCAACAAAATTATTTTTAGATCTGATTAAATTCTTAGACGGTTTAAAATCGTTCTTTTTCAGGAAAATTAAGATAAGCGACCTTTCCGATTCGCAAAAGCGAAATTATCTTTCTGAATTTTTTGAAAAAACTACGCGATTGATTTCAAGTTTTATACATTTATTCTATGTGTATCTTCAACAATGTGTAAAGTAAAAATTACTAAAAAATATAAATGTCTAAAACTTTAAATGCGTTTTCAAAATCTACAGATTTTTAAAATATGATGGTATCTCGAAAACTATTGAACAAGTTGACTTCTTTTTGTCTTTTAATATAATAAAAGCTGATTTTTTTACGCCATTTTGTCAATTTTCGATTTTTCCCAAAGTTCAAGTTACTTATCTACACCATTAATAAATAAAATTTAAATTTATTTCCGCTCAAAAAAGCAAGTTTTTGCGCCCTCGTCATTTTATATCTTTTGAACAAAAAAAATTATCATTTTTTAACAATTTTTATTTCACACATTGTCGAAGATACATAAAACAAACGTATAAAATTCGAAATCTCCCTTCGTCGTACAGTTAAAAACAAAAATCATAAAAATAGCTTTGTTTCCGTGTGTCTTAAAAATCATTAGCCAATTCCTTCACATTTCTTGAAAAACCAGCACTCGTCACAGTCAATTCTCCATGTTTATCCGATTATCCGACACCATGTAAGTTAGACATAACAAAATGTAAATCTAGCCGTTTCGTGGCGCGGCTTCGCCAACCGTGTCAATATATAATTCCTTCGGTTATGAAACGAAAATTTACGAGCACAAGGCCGCCCTGTGCTATTATCATAAGCGAAGAAATTAACGTAATCGCAGTCACGACGGCCCTTTCAATTCCTTCAATAACAACGGCGACGGTGGCGGCGGCGGTGGTGGCCGACATATAAAACATGTAATTCAAGATTTCCCATGGATCGGTTCGTGCTTGCGATCGGATCTGAATTGCGTCAATACGCGCGCGTTGCATAATAATCCGTAATATGGCATAACTCCGCGTATTGCGCACACATTATACCCGTCGCGTTTGCGATCACGATATTATTATTTCTATTTCGCGACGCTATCACGATATTATCGACGTAATGTGTGGCTCTTAGCCAACGAACGATTTATCAAACTAGAATCGTTATGCGGGTCTTTCGTTGAATGTAAACGTCCACATTGAATATGATACTCTTTTCCGGACACGGACAATAAAACCCTAGTCTAATGTCCATTTCTACCAATGTCGATTAACTCTAATTTCAACTTATAATACTTTTATCTCTATCTAGTTCTAACGAGAAAATGGCAGGATTGAGAAGTAAGTAATGTTACTTTTTTCTGTTTGTAATATTATTACGTTTTTACAGTGTACTGTTAAAGAGGTAATGATAATCCAATTCCTCGAGTTAAATAAATAATGTTTTAACTTCCATGTCATAATGTAAATCAATCCATTTTTCTGTGTTAGTTTCAAAGTAAACAACGTTCATATTAATATTTGCACTTAATAAATGATAAACTAAATTTGAATAAAAAATACAATTCTTGAATTAAATTGTTTGTTGTTTTAGTTAAGTTAATGATATATTGATTGTGAGTAGCAATAGTGGCGTTCTACAAAAATTACCTATACATTAAGAAAAAAATACTGTTGGTTCAATTAAAGTCTGTATTACGGACTGTCATTAACATAAGTGATTAGTTCATGTATATTTTTATTGACATAAATTATTATTTCAATAATTTATGCCTTTACGTCAAAAATATATGTGAGTTAATTATTTATGTTTAAGAGATTACAAATAACTCTGATCTTTATCGAAATCTAATACTGTTAATCTTGAAAAACAGTAATTAATTACTTATTTCAAGTATCGAAAGCGCCGTTGCTCAGTACTTTTAGTACTCCAAATAAATAATTAATTATTGTCTTTCAATAACAAATTCACCTGTATTATATTTCTACAACACTTTGACATTATAAATTCAACAGTACGAAGAATTTCGCCGTTACTTTCATAGTTACTTCAATTCCCTATCATTAGTAATAATAATAATTATATTTATAATTCTACAAAAAAATAATTGACACCGAAAAATGACTACAAAGTATATAATTGAATTATGGTAATTCCAATTTTTTTCTCGCAATCAGTGCATTCTGATTCGGCGATCGGTTTACGAATTACATGGCACATAAAATTATAAATAAAACGAAATCCCGAATTCCGACACGAATAGATCGCATAGATCGAAAGCTTGAAATGCAAACTTAATAGCTTACAGGAAAACGTCATTAGTTTCTGTCATACGCGAGCGACACACGATACATATCCTCTGTAAATATACCGTGTCGAAAGGTGAGGACGCCAAATATTGTATATGTAAGAAACACGAGGATCGAATCACTGTGCGATCGAGTGTTACCGTGCTAGTGTGCTGTCTTCGCTGACGTCTGTCTAAATCATTCCGCTTCGCTCGATTCAGTTGCGACAACATTTATTTGCTTGTCACAGAGTTTCACTATTCGTGAAACGATCAAAGATTTGATATATTACGAATAAATTCTGCTACACGTTGGATCGATAAATCAGAAAGTTTATTCTTCGCGAGGTACGAATGTATTTTGTAACCACATTTGTTTTCTTTATCTTTACTTCATGTTAAATTCATTTTAGATCGATATTTGATTATTAAGCTTAAGATTTAAGTAATTTATTTATTAAAATGTATCAAAATTATTTTCAATTAATTGCTTTCATTATTTTTAATAAAACATTCTTTTTTCTCTTTAATACTTAAGGAACATACGTTGTTATTAACTGATTAACATTGTTATTAACTGATTTATTTCGATCATTTGTCACTTCAAGTGATAAAAATGACTTTTAACGAATGTTACGTCTTGTTTATTTTAAAGTAAATTCCTTTCATCGACTGATTCAATGGCATCCTTTCTTTAAAAGATTTTTAGATTTTAAACACATGTTTTTTTTTTTTTAATTTGTTTGTGTAGTCGCAGATAAAAGTTTATCTGTAATTTGATGATTTCAACTTCTTTCAATTATTCTTAAAAATTATATGTATATATTATTCCGTAACAAAGCAAGAACATTATAAAATATTTTGAAATCAAAGAGGCCCAAATCATTTTGTACTTCGACTTACGTCGTTGCTTCAAATCTGTAAGCGATTTTGCCCTTTGAAGTATCTAAAAATTTAACTGGATACAGATTTCGTTGAATAATTTCGTTGAATTATCAAAATAATTATGTAAGATTTATATAATTAAAATACTGATATTTGCACGTTCGATTTCAATCTTCCAATTCCATATTTATTGAATTTAAGTACCAAAACAAGATTAGATATCACAATAAAGATTAGGGACTAGGTTAAGGATCTCACATTTAATTCATTGATTAGTGGCATACTTGGCACTGATATCACTGATTCAGATTTAGAGAGTGCAGCATTGCTTATTATGCTTAAGATTTCCTACGTAATTATTGTATTAGGTGCGCAACTAAGTTCTCGCTGTTATTTTGATGCATTTTCATCAAAATAACAGCGAGAACTTAGTTGCGCACCTAATATTTTGACAAAATCAATTTCCAACTAAGTTATATCTTCAAATCTCTGTATCTTATAGCTAAATTTGTAAATACTTCGGCAAACTCGTTTTTTCTGTGTGCAAACATAATCAACATGTAAGTTTCCTTTTTACAGAATTCTAAGGCTCACCCTTTCACAACTGTAGCATAGAGGATTGGAAATCGTCTGAAAATTATCCGATACAGTTTGTTGCAACTCGCCGGGAATGTTCTTACGTTCTACATTGAAAAATGGAATCGATAACCGACTCGTCTCTTCTTTTCGCCAGTTGCAGTTCCAACTGCACGGACTATGATTATGAACGTTCGAAAATCAGGACACAATCCGAGAAGAAAAAACGTGTGAAAAGATCTCCCGCGTCAAAGCTTTCTCTCTCTCTCTCCTTTATGTCTTTGCCAGATATGAAAAATACGAAATTACTTAAAACCAACAAAGCTTCATCAAAGAAAATCCAAAAGGCGAAATCTGAAAGTACGTTTTAAATTTGCATTGTAAGATCTAGCAACCTCAATTTTCAATCGTATTACTTACGGAAAGATCAGTTTTAAAGTATCTAAAAATTTAGCCGGTTACAGAAATCTGAAAATAACTTTATTGGACCATTAAAATTATGTGGGACACTCAAGATAGTTATTGGAAAATCGAAACTTTTTGCAACTTGCTCGAGCATTTTATACAATTATTTTGATAATTCAGATCATACATCCTAGATATAGATGATACAGGAAAGAACAGTTTTGCCGGAATATCTCTAAAAAAAATTTAGTTAGATATAGATCTGGAATTAATTTTCTTTGGACTATCAAAATAATTATATGGAACGCTCAAGCATGATGAACACGGAACAATGTTGCAAAAAATGTTGACGTTCTGGAAACCATTTTGACTGTCTTACATTATTATTTTGATGGTTCAGCAAAATTATTTTCAGATCTGTATCTAACTAATCTGTATCTAACTTTTTATTATAACAGACGAACTCTTGAAGGATTACTGTCCATATTCCTCCGACAATTGTGGTTGCAGTTCAGGTTGCACGGATTGCGATTATGGACTCTATACGTATACAACTAAAAACAAGAGCAAGTTGAAAAGTAAAGACAAGAGATTCTATATAAAGCCTTCGAGTAATTTCAGACCTTTGAAGTCCGAGAAAAGTCGAAAAATTGCAAAACCATTTAGCGCTATAAATATTTTAAAGAGAAAAAAGATAAAATCTCCCAAAGGTACGTACATTCACATCATAAACTTAACAATAATTCAAACTTTTTACTTTTTATGCTTTCTTATTATGATACCGTCCGCGATTATATAACGTTAACTTAATTGACTTTCGACTATTCGCTTTATCTCTAAAAATTAAATATAAGTAATTAAATTCAATTAGAAGATTTAATTTAATTTAACATGTTAATTTAATAATAATTTAATTTAATTTAAATTAATTTAATTTCAATATTAAAATTAATTGATCTAATTACTTCGTTATGGAAAAAAATAATCGTGTACTAACAGCATTAGATCTAATTATAAATAATTTTATTAATTCAATAACAGTGTTAATATAACAAATACCTACTTTATTAAAATAAGAGCACTGTATTCGTAATTAGAAAGATTATTTCTAATACTAATACTAATAATACTATTATATATTATTTTTTATACAATATAGCAGAAAAAGCCTTGAAAAGCAACTACTCCGAATCTTCTGGCAGTTGTAATTACCAGTTAAACTATATAAAACATACCTTCAAACTAAAAACAACTAAAAACCAAAAAGCAAAAACCAAAAAGAAAACATCAGCGAGGAATTTGAGAAAACTGAGAACTCTGAAATTGCGCAAGAATAAGAAAGTTTCAAAGAACGCAGCTATAAAAGTTTCTGAAAGTATGTTACAAATTTCAGTTATCTATTTAAATCCACACTTCATTATTAAAACATTAAATTTTTAAACTTTAATTATAGCTGTCACTCGATAGATTTTCGATTATTTCCGTTACTTTTGAAAATCAAAACAAATTCAAATATTCCAATTTGGAGTATCTTAAGACCAATTTATTTTTATTGATTTACTTTAACTATTTTTACATTATTTGGTTGTAATTATTATATACACATTTTTCTATTATATAAATTTTTATTTTTGTAGGAACCATTATGAAAAATTGTTTTTCTGATTCATCTAATAACTATGAGTGCAATTCGGATTATACAGAATGCGAAAAGCGCATAACTAAAAGAAAAAAAAAATTGAAAAGCAGATCCAAAAAAGTGGAAACTTCAACAAAACCGAAAATCGAACAGTCGGAATTGTCTTCAGTAATCGATGAAAGTAATGATGACAATTAGAAATGAAAAGAATTCGAAGCAAACAACAGAAGTTCCTGAAAGTACGTCAAAAAATTGCCTTGAATTCAAATTTTTATGGATGATGTAGCGATATACATAGCTACTTTTTTGTAATGATATATCTTCTTTTCTTTTATTTTTCTTTGTGCATAATTTTATTATTTACACAATATATTGTATTTACACAATATATTTGAATTATTTACCATTAAAAACTCTAAATGTGAGTTTAAGTACCACTATCTTGAAATTTACTTATTGACTCTGTTGAATAGATAAAGCAGCTAACTGTTATAAAATTCTGTAACATAATTGATCTTTTCCTTAGTTTCTCACTCTAAATGCATAAACTAATCATATTAAAGAATTTTACAACAGTTGCAAAGTTGCTTTCTCTGCTGAACGCAGCCATTAATTATAAAACACAATATTACTAACTATTATTGAATATTATTTTTAACATTATTAAGATATGATTATTTAAATAATCATTAACTTACATAGATGTTGATATATATTTCTTTTCTATAAATAAATTTGTTCTCGTGTTTTAATAATGTATATCGTTACAGTCCTATTATTATTCTGAAAGTGATTTTTACTTCACTAGTGAAGATTGCTACTTTAAATAACACGCTAATCAAACATTAATACAACAAATTATTTACATTGCCAATAAATAGTTAATACATTACGAATGCTCTATAAAAAAGTATGATGAGATATATATTAATTTTAAAACAATATCACGCAAGAAAAATGTATATGTTAATCAGTATATTCTATGTACAATAATTCTCGTAATTATTTATATGTAATTACAAATTTTATTTACATATTTTATATATATATATATACATACATAATTTTATTTATATATTATATATAAATATAATGTATAAAAGTTATTATTTTATTATTTTATATTACTTTAACATATTTTTCTCACGTGTAATATACCGTAATATATATACTGATCGACGGGAAAATTATCATGTAGATATATATATGTATACACATACACACACACATACATATATATATGCAGTTTCCATATAATTATTGTCAAAGAAATTAATAACTTGTGTAAGCGATAGAAGAGAATCATTTTAGCAAGATGATATTTTTCATCTTAATTGTATCATTATTTTAACATACTTTTCTCATATATAATAAGTACCGATCAATTAATAATTTGTATAAACGAATAGTACAAGAGAAACATTTTAATACACTCATTGCGTATCTTTTCAGAAAAATGTATATGAAAACGTACGAACAATAAAGAAAAAAATTCTGCGCAGAACGTGCTCTACGCTTAATCTAAAAATATGAACTCTATTATTACAGATAAATATAAATTTTAATGGCTTTTCTCTCTTTCTCTTCTCGATAAAAAAAAAATGGAGATTTCTCGTTCCTTCGACAAAAGATACTTTCCGCGGGAATTCGGTATAAAACGCGCCCAAATGGGAGTTAACCAGCCACAAGGGGCCCCCCGCGGGGGGGGGGGGGGGGAGGGGGGGGGGTAAATTAAATTAGCCTTCTCTCGCGTCGAACTAACGCGTATGCTCGCAGGAAGCGGCGCGCAGCTGAGAATGCGATTACGTAACGCAGATAAAATCGAAATAAGAGATTACCGCGTCGCACGGATGGAGACGGAGGGAGGAGCGAAATCCCCGCAATGACATGCAAATATTTAGATAAGATTGTCTACGCCGTGTAACGGTGCTCGTACACGCACGCGTTCTCTCTTTGCGACCCTGTGTTTACGTACATGGAAGCTCTATTACCGCGCGAATAATGAAGCATGGACGGCACGACATGACACTTGCCCGACTATTTCAGCATGCGAAAATAACATCTTGTTATTGCAAGAAAGGTATACGGTCTGGAATACTGTCGAAGAAGAAATATTATACAGAGTCCGTCCACAAATTCCTCACCCCTAAAATGCCAAACTTCTCCAGACAAAATTTCATAATTTTCCCTGACTTTCAATGACATTTCGAATTCTTTTATATTTTCGTCGTGATTTGGAAACCGTGAAATATTTTCTTGAGAAAGCAATTTAACGCAGCTACGTAAATTATTGTTATTGTTACTAACTCTACTTGCACTTTTAATTGTTAAGTTGATAGTTTGATTCCAAAACGTGCGTAGGCGTGATGTACGCAAATTTCTTTGATTTCCCAGAAAACTTTGCAAAATTCCCTAACTTTACCCTGATTTCCAGTTTTGTGCGGCAACCCTATGTTAAAAAGTTCCGCAAGGAAAAAAAAATTATTGAATATTAAAAAGCTTGGTGTGAATGAGAGAGTATTAATTTAAAGAGAAAGTATTAATTTTAAAAATAATATTACTCCCTTTTCCTCTTCTCTCAAAATGATCATATAATAACTGAGAATAAATAATCTCGGAGCACTGAAAGTAATATCACCTTTCCGCGTTGCTCCGATCATATTACTCTAGATGAGCGTTCATAACGGTGCAACAGATTGCTATTTTGCATCCGAGAGATAAACATGGGAACCGAGCTACTTGCCTGCAGGTAGTCTGAGACGCGGCGGGAATCTAATACATGGCGTAAAAGCGTCGGGATCGAGTGTTCCCCACGAGAATTGTCGCGAGAGAGAGAGAGAGAGAGAGAGAGAGAGAGAGGGGCAAGTCCTGTAACGGTCTAAACATAAAGAAAAGTAACGAAAAGTAAGACAACAGAAACAGGGATGTCTCCATTTACGAGCGACGGATTCGTAATCAATAAAGCGAGTTCGAATCCTGCATCCTCTATATAAGTACGGAAAAAAATTTGATAATCCGTTTCTGACTTAACGAAAGTCGCAGAGGAACTCTTTAGATCTAGGTGACTCTTTGACTAAGTTCAGACATATAAAGATTGATTAGTCCTATTCGTTACTATTACTATTATTAAAAAATGGATATAACAGATTTTAACGTATCGAAAATACTGGATAATACACGGTGTAGATGTTAAAGTGATTTTCGATAGTCTATTCTTAAAGTCTATTCTTTCTATTTTTTGTTGCCTGTACTTTTCTAGGTTCTTAGAAGGCTTCCCTAAAATATTTAATAAACGTTTTATCTATCTCCGTTCTTAGATAATAAAGGAGCAAAATTTCTTGAGTTAAATAACATTTTATTTCATTTTCAATTTCCATTTGTGTCAAAATGTAAATCAATCCATTTCTGAGATCAATTTTAACACAAACGTTCATATCGATGTACGCATTTGGTAAATGACAAATTAAACCTGAGTCAAATTTAATTCACTTTTTCAGTTACATTCTTTAACTTCGTATTAATATTTTTAATTTAACGACATATTCAGTGGCGATTTATAGAAATGATTAAAAATAATTAATTGAGTGTAATTTGACGTTATGAATTTAACAGTGTAATTCCAAAAATGTTAATTTTTTTTTTTTAATTTGTGTGCGTGCGTGTGAGAGAGAATTATCGCGAGAGAGAGAGAGCACATTTATCCCGCAAAGATGGCGAGAAGGCGGCGAGTGATGGCAGGGAAAACAAGAAGAGAACTGCGAGAAGAGAACCGGTCACGTGTGCCTATGTAACGTGCCGCCAACTGTTCTTGGGTTCACGGCCCGACTCTATCTACCTTGCCACCACAACGAGAAGTTGTGACATAATAGGCTGTCGCCAATCACCTACGCCGCACGCCGTGTTCGTATTTACTGCGAAACCGACAAACGCGCGTTTTCCTTCATGGGCTGATGTCTATCGATATGAATAAAATATCAGTAGAATTAATATTTATCGATGTAAAGCGGCGGCCATTGCTAGCACAAGAAAGTATAAGCTGAAATGCGAAAGTATTACAGATTAATCGATACACCGCGGGAAAAATAACATTTTATATTTACGTTGAAATTTGTCGTACCGATTTCTTACTTTAAAAGCGGTTACACGTTAAAAAATGGAATACTCAAGATGTTATTCGAATATCTTGTGGTGAATTGATATTCGACATTTATTAGCGTTGAAATTACACAGTTTTGAATAACTGAACAATTAATAGAAATAATGTTAAAACGTCAACTCTAATATAAATTAATGAAATTTGACAATTTAATGTATCATAAATTCATATCAACTTTACCGAAGAAATATGCTCTTTCACAATTTCCTCACAAATTGTCAGTGTTATATTTTTATGTTAATTTCTTAAATAACGTATTATTTCCTAATATATTCATCTTATGTTAAATTAACACAAATTTTCCAACTATACGTATATATATTAAGAATTAAAAAAAATATTCATTGGATATAAAGAATAAAAATATCTTATTATATAAAGATATCATATAAATGTAAAACAGATCCTCGACTTTTTTCTTTTTCCTCGAATTAACTCAAATTACCTTCCCGTCTGAATCAATTTTCTCAGAGGGTTCCCGCGTCTTTTGTGTATTAATCGCCTCGATCTTCGGAAGAAAAATTCAGAATAAAGAAAGCGAACAGAAATAACATTAGATAAAATAGCGAGGGATCGTTAGGATTACGCTCACGCATGCACTTGCCGAATCCAAGACGTGGAAAGTAACTGTTTATATTAGCGTTTTTCCTCTTTTTTTTTTTCTTTTCCATGCCTGATGACGTAATCGCTTCGAAGGCTCCGCGGAGAATATAAATGTTCCCGCGTTTTATGGGGCGGTGAATTTTCTCGGCGATTACACGGTTCCGTGTAGGATAATGAGAATTAATTTTAGATCCAGGCTCCACCGAGGCGAATATTTCTGTCGCTAGTTTTACCGTTAACGATAATTTCGCTCGTTTGCGGCGGCAACGTTACGACACTCCGCTAAGCCGGTCGCTCGCGCGCGAGTTGGGCAAGACGAACCCCGCAAAGGTCTCCGTGTCCAGTCACATTGTTCGGAGACCAGGTGGGAGTACTTATGCCAAGATAATGGCAGTGTTTATAGCGTATAATTACTGCCTTAGTTGCGCTATCATACGTCATTTCTTCGTCGAGCCTGAATCAAAATCGTTATGACTGTGAAACTTTTGCGCGAGCACCGCGTTTGAGTAAAGAAA